AAAAGACAGCCGGGCTCGGTGGCTCAGCCTGTAATCCCGCGCCTTTGGGAGGCTGAGGTGAGTGGATTACTTGAGCCCGCGGGTTCGAGACCCGCCTGGGCAGCGAGACTTCATTTCTACAATAAATCAAAAAATCAGCCGGGCGTGGTAGCGCATGTCTGTAATTCTGGCTACTTGGAAGGCTGAGGCGGAAGGATCACCAGAGCCCAGCAGGTCGAGGCTGCGGTGACCGGGAGCGGCCACTGCACTCCAGCCTGGGCGACAGAGTGAGACTCCAACTCAAAAAAAAAAAAAAAAAAAAAGACAGAAACCTGCTCATTTTGCAGATGGCAACACTGAGGTCCGTAGAGGACCAGGACTGACCCAAGGTCACTATTGGTAGGGGGCCAACCAGAGCCTAGAGCTCAGATCCCGTCTCTGCCCCACTTCTCCCCGTGCCGGGCGCCTCGCCGGCACGCAACCTCACTGTGGGTTTCCCACCAGGGGCACAAAAGCCTGGCTTCCTTCCTTTGTCTGAGACTAGGTCTGGACCGTCTCCCCGGAATCGCGAGCGCGTCACAGGAGCGGCCTAGCCCGGGAGGCTCCTTTTCCGTGTCGTTGGCGCCGCCTGGTGGACTTGCGGCAAATTCTCGGCAGCCGCAGCCGCGGCCCCAGACCTGCACTGGGAAGGATCCCCCGGGCCAAGTTTACCGGAGCCGGGCGGGAGCGGGGCGAGTGGGATGCGGAGCCTCTCTCGCTCCGCACAGACCTCGCAACTTGCTCCCTCACGCCCGACCTCCCGCCCCCTCCTCCTCCTCGCCCCCTTTCCTGCGTGCGCGTCGCCCTCGCCCTCCAGACACACCTCCCTGTCGCATGGCTCCCCAGACCGCGGGTAATGACAGACAGAGTCCGAGTCCAGGGGGCGGAGGGCAGAACGAATTCAGACTTTATTGTCAGGGAGAGGAGAACGGGGAGGACGTGGGCGGGGACCAGGTTGCTACATTGTCAAGCAGAAAGAGTTGATGGGAAGGGGAAGGCCGGTGGGGGCCGGTCCCCTCCCGGGTCGGCGGCCGGAGGGCTGACGGTACGGAAACCCCGGGGAGGGGTGGTGTCACGCCCCCGCCCGAGTTGTGCAGTGGAGGAGTCTGGTGGGAGGGGACAGCCACGAGGTCTAGGAGCGGGACGGGAGGCTACAGACTCGGCGAATCCTGCGGAGGGGAGGGGAGGGGCGGGGGCGAGGCTTCTATTGCTTTTTGCTCACAGTTTTGCGGAAGGCGAGGCGGGGGTGGGCTTGGACCGGACACCCCTTGCCCCCCTCGGTACCCCTTGGGCGATGGGTGCTGGTGAGAAGAATGGAACCCGGACTGGGGAGGACGAAGGCGAGGGAAAGGTCTGTGGGGGCATCTCCTTGGTCCCACCCAAGTGCCAGAGATGCCCCAAGTGCTGCCCCCTGCGGTGGGCCCGGCTGGACCTGGGGCTGGGGCGTGGTGCGGGGCGGGCACAGTGAGGTTGCAGGCGGTAAAACCAAAGTGCGAATGAGGGACCCAGGATCCCGCCTGCTCCCCTCCCCCTGCGGAGGACGGGGCTGTTCACGGAAGCGCTTCAGTTCGGGGGAGGGGGCCGGAGTCCCAGAGTCCGCTTATTGCCAAGAAAAACCATTTCTGCCGCCCGGACCCCGACCATGGCTTGTGAACCCCGTTTTGTGCTAGGTTTGGGGGGAAGGGCTGGATGGACATGGCTTTTGGGAGGGGGGGTGTCTCCAAGGGGGCTCGGGGGTGAGACGGCCCCCCCTTTTCTAGGGGAGAGGGAAAGGCAGGGGGCGGGGTTCCCTGAGATCTGGGGTGTCCCCCCCTTCTGAAGCCCCCCTCCCCCGCTGCCCCTCCCCTTTCCTGGAACCCCGTACCTCGGGGTGGGGGGGAAGGAGAGATCACTCAGGGAGTGCCGGGAGGAGGGGCGGGCTGGGAGCCCGGAGGCCTGGGTCCCGGCTGGAGGTGGGGAGTCGAACGGGAGGGGTTCAGGGTTGAGGTCAGTAGGGGGAGAAGAGGATGGGTCCGTGCGCAGTTCGGATGGGTCCGGGAGCCGGGTGGAGCAGGGGGTGCGTGATCGGCGGGCCCTGCAGGAGAGGCGCGGCCGGAGCCGGG